CTTGACATTGTGAATGGGCCTATCTAAACCGTCCATTCAAATCGGACGGTTGGATAGGGGGAAGTATATAACTTCGGAAAATATAGAAAGCTTTCCCATATCATTAGGGGCGTATTTTTATGTTATACAAAATTTCACCTCCCTATTTTCTAAATAATGCAAAACAATGTCGTGTGAAAAACACCAATGTTAAGTTCTCTTAAATGAACACGCTAGCCCCTATCATTTTATGGTTTTTTCTAAACAACCACAAATATTTACACTCCTCTATCTCTCTCCATCTCTCTCACATATGTCATACACTTGATATCTATCTTGCCCATCATTTCATGCACTTGTTTCTCCCTCTTTGTCTCTATCTCTCTCATTTCATCCACTTGATCTCTCTCTCTCATTCATTTCATGATTTTGATTTGATCCTTTTTCACTCTCTCATTTCATTCATCTCTTTCTCCCTCTAAAGGACAAGAATACTCCAACAAAATGAAGCTGACCCAGGTGTAGGTCCACACCCACACCCAACAACAGTTCAATCACACCCCTGCCATGCTCAGCCCAAAACCTTCTCAAACCAACAAAACCAATTCATCATTTTCCCTCACTTCCCCCCAAATAAATATTTCCACTCTCTCTCTCTCCATTCAAAAAAATAAAATAACTAAAACACCCAACAAACCATTTTCCAATCTTATGCAAACCTGGTATGCAACTTGCGCTTCTTTAATCACTATATAGTTTAGGGGTATTTTTGGTAATTTAAAAATGAGTTAGGGCTATGATGGTCTTTGTTACATGAGGTGGCATTATGGTCATTGCCCCTAGCAATAATTCATTCTCCCCAACTTTCTCTCTCATAACAACTCCCCAAAAGTTTGAACCCAAACTTCTTATCTTTTTCTCCTTTGCAAGGAGTTGCAAGTCATCATCTTGTCCCACTCTTTCTTCCAATTGCTTATCCACTTGCCAATCCACTCTCTCTCTCTCTCAAATGTCACATAGAAGCCCCAAAATTTACTCATAATTGTGAAAATACCCTCAAATTCCATTGGGAGTTTTTTTTTTTTTTTTGAATCCCCAAATTCCAATGAGTTATCATCACCATTTTTATACTTGCATGATTTTAATTTTTTTCGAATTCAAGATAATTTTGAATCTTTAATAGTTTGATGATCTCTCTCTATATGGAAAATTCATGAAATGTGGGTTCCAAAGTAAGTCACCGAGGGCACCTAATCACATTTCTTATCCCACAACTCTCTCTCATAATCACACTAAATAAACTTGCCAAATAAGCATACCATTCACCATTTAATATAAATGCCGTTATTATGGATGGATTGGTCCAACCATTATGACCAATAACCGTTTAAACATGTTGGCTGGTGTAGTGTGGTTCAAAGAAAAAACTAAATTTGATTATGAGTTAATATTTGATTGACTTTGACCAGTCAAGCTGACAGTTTGATTAACTCAACACCAAAGTAAAATCGAAGCAATTTTATAGTATGCTTTATATTTTTACATTTTTGGTTCTATGTTTTTTTTTTTTTCAAATCCGGTTTAATTATTTTGACTAACAATTAAGCTAATTTTGAGTGAAGGAGACCCTTCGGCAAGTTTGATGAAGGCTTGATAACATTACTTGCGGAGTGTGTATACTATTATCCTGCGGGAGTATATACTGCATAGTTACTCCCTCGAGCATAAGACTACCTCGGAAATTTTTTTTATTATGAGCACTACTCTTAATTTAGGTTTTGCCTGAGGAAGTAAATGGACAGTATGCTTCCTCATAGCATAAAATCTTGGTTTTCTTTTAACCAAACCTCCCTCTAAAGTCTAAACCTACTCCTACAAACCTCGATTGCCTATGACTACCGCCTAGCCTTGAGGAATGGGTATTTAAGGTAATTTAAGTTTGGTAGGGTGAAATATGAACACAACAATTAGGGAGAAAACATTAGTCCCTCAAAAAATACATTTTTCTTGGGTAATAAAATACATAAATGCAATTTAGTAAATTTATAGTGTTTTAAAACCCGTATCGGTGGGGATAAAGATTTGTGCTATATGATTGATAATTTATCGGGATAAAGATTTGTACTATATGATTGATAATTTAGATTGGGTTTAGATTAGTTTGAATTGGTGATTCAAATAATATTAAAAATAAATAAAAAAAATTATAAAAAAAATGGAGTGGGGTTAAGAAGAGAATTGAGAAAAATTTGATAATTTTTTTTTAAAAATAAAAATATATAAAAAGTGATTTTGGAGGAGAATCAAGCTACGACTCGTGATTGATTTCCATCTATTTTGACGCATCAAATCAGAAATCGCCGAATTTTAATACACGGATGATTTACAAAACCAATGTTCTACCGTAAAAACAATGTAAAGAGTGCATCCTTTGACACTCTATATGACTAAAATGCCCTTAATTCCATCTAAACTAATCCTGCTTATTTTTTATTATTGATGCACCTACTAACAAGGCTATCAAGCTTTGGAAAATGGGAGTCAACCACAGTGCAATCATATCGAGCACCAATTAAATTTTTTATTAAGTATTGTTTAGATAATTAAATAATATGATAAAAAAAAAATCAAATAAGATAGAGATGGATAAAATTGGATTATGGGATTAGTTGGTATCTGGTTGTCTACTAATACATATTAAATTTGAATTGGACAATTGAGATTTGCCAAAAGCCAACATCTCCTTTGAATCTAGGCCGTTTGATCGAAGGAATCAGATCTCAACCATTGTTTTAGTCCACTTGATGGTCCTTTTGGGCGCACACATGCAAAGTCAACTACTTCAGAACAACGGTGAGAATCCACTCCAATTGCTAATAAGAACAATCTTATTGGAATAAATTATAGGAAAATATTATTGAAGGCACATATAATCTTATGAAATTATTTAAAAGCTCAAAAGATCCTAATTATCATCACCCACATCATTGAGCAAATTTCATAAAAGTACTCCATAATAATCTATTCAAATATTTTAAAATTGTAATCCTTGTTGAGGGTTGGTAATCCTTAACAATTAGGGGAATTAGCTTGATATTTTCGTGCAAATTCATTTTTTTTTTTTAGCACTCAGATAAAGGAAAAGTGTAGTGTGCGTTGGGGGATGCAATTCTACATGTGTGTCCCCTGGTGCATCTAATATCCATCTCAGAGATTGATGTAGAAAGGATATGGTCCCACCGAAACCCACGAATCAACCCCCTGAAAATTTACATAGAAACTATTTTTTTGTTTGTAAATAGTTATTCTTTTTAACCCTAAAATTTGAGGATCCAATATCTCTAAAATAGATTTTGGAGGGAGGGTTCATATAAATAGAGATGACTCGGTCAACTGATGAAGAACCTTATCCCTAAATAAATCCACACGATTGCAAATTTAAACTCTATCATACCTCTAATTTTTTTATAAAAAAGTTATCCTTCAATCTGAGCCATCGGACAATCCTCCTATGTTACGGGCGAAGACAATACAAACATATTTATCAATCGATAACTTTTTTTTTGTGAAAAAATTTTATTTATATGGATAGATGTGAGAATATTTTTACAATAATTGATCCCAATGAATTTTTTCACATCAACCGACAAATAATTGGTGTGAAAATATTCCCCCACCTAACAACATGGGTAAATATTTTCATGTGACAATACTTTTCAATAAAGTTTTTTACATGAACCAAATGGGTTGAATCTACAAGCAAATATCCACTGTGTGTTGTCGTTCAATAATTACCAAGCATTAAAACAATATAGCTACCTATTATTGATATTAAACACTTACCTTTGGTATTAAAGAGCCATGTAAATATTATTTTCTCAAACCAATATTTCATCTTAAATGACTGCCCAAATGTTGAGTATTTATTCTTCAGTAAAAGGGAGGGGTACCAAGCAAACTACCTAAAAGAGATATTTGATTGTTTTGAGAGAACGAGGACAACTATTTGAATATTAAATGACCAACCAAATATGGACTGAGTAAATACTGCAAAAACTTTTGACGGTTTTACCAAATGTTTGGCTAAAAAAAATCATAAAAGGCTTTTTTATTGGTCATAAATTATTAATGGATGAAATTTCTATAAGGGCTAGGTTCTATGGCAACCAAATAAAGCCCGACCTTAAATCCTCATATAGAAAATACTTTTGGCCATGAAAATGTCTATGATGGTTCTAAAATCGATTTCCAACACCAATAATAAATTTTGAAATTCAAAAAATCATACATATCTTGTGGATCTTTATTTTTTATTTTTTAAAGATGAAATGGACAATCTAAGTTAATTTATTAAAATATACATTATTTTTTAAAGTTTGAAATCTTTTTTTTTTTTTTTCACAACTATAATGTTCAAATCCAGATGTAAAGGTTTGCCAGAGCTTGTACTGTAATTCCGACGTGTCATTAGGTGAGGCTTTGCTTATTTTGATAGGGCTGCAGCCCTATCAAACCATTTTTCCATTTATTAATTGTTCTATGGAACTTAAAATTTATATCGAAAAAATGATTTTAATCGTAAATCCAAAAAAAAAAAATATCTAAGCCCTAGTTCACCTGAAAATGAAAAGTTAAGAAAATAATTAAAATTCCCTACAATGGTGCTACTAAAAAGTACTAAAAGTTGTGAAAGTGTTGGGGATGATCCATGTAGACATTTTGGAGAATTAAAGAAACTAATTATATATTTTCATAGAGTAAGTTTGGCAAAATATGGAGCTTTTTTCTTTTCAACTTTTTTAAAAAAAGCTATAATAATTTCACAAAAGAGAAGGGCATTTTCAGAAATTGATAGGTAATTCCATGGTCAAGGATTGGATTTTGGACGTTCACCACTAAGACGTACCTCTCCATTTTTGGAGAATGGCACTGTCAGGGACATAAATGGAAATTACAAAACTTTAGAGGTCATGGTTTAACTGCACAGTTCCTTAAGACTACCGTCGTTCACCCACTTATTCTCTCAAGTTTCAGCTTCAAGCTCTGGTCTAAAGTAGAGAGAGAGAGGCATATGGGAGAGACACAGACAGAGGAGAGAGAAACAGAGAGAGAGGAAAATAATAAAATGGGGTGTCTCAAAAGAAGGTTTAAACATGGTGGGTGATTTCATTATATAGAGGCACTGGAGGAGTAGATTCTGGTTAGAGAAAGAGAGAGTGTGTGTGTTTGGTCTCTGGGTTTATTGGAGGGCTTGAAACATGGTGGATGATTTCATAGTTTATGTGGATGGTTTGATCAGTACAGCTTGCTTTGAATCAGCTTCTTCAGGAGCAGATTTACTGAACAACAATGTATCTGTAAATTGTAATGTATCTTCAGCGAATAACAATGGTGGGTCTTTCAGTAGAGAGGGTGGGTGCTCAGAGAGGACTGAGAAAGGGGATGTGATTGAGTGTAGGATATGTCAGGAAGAAGACGAGTTACATGCAATGGAGGCTCCCTGTGCTTGTAATGGAACTCTAAAGGTACCATTTTTTTTGGTCTTCTTTTTGTTATTCTTCTTCTTTTAGGACCGTAAACTTTTTCTCTCTCTTTCTTTGCTCTCTCTCTCTCTCTACTATTTTATCTTGCATCTTTGACCTTTTTTACAGGACTAGACTCTCTCTCTCTCTCTCTCAATTTCTCTTAGCCTAAATGGTGTATTTTGGGCTCTGTTTTGTTGAGTTTTCAGTTTCATTGCTGTTTATTCTCTTTCTGGCTTTGGCATTATCCTATTTTGATAACAAAAGTGAAATAAATTGTCTTTTTTTTTTCCATCTAGACCAGATATTCATGCATTATTCCTGATTTCTTTTGCTGTTTTGCCTCTTTATTTCGTGACAATTTTTTTTTTTCTTGTTGCTTTTATGCGTTTATGTTATTCTTGTTCTCATGGCCTTCTTATTTTATACTCTCTCTCTCTCTCTCTCATTGCAATTGACTTTTAATTGCTTTTTCCTTTTCTTTCTGTTTGATTGCAGTTTGCCCACAGGAGATGTATTCAGAGATGGTGTAATAAGAAGGGGGATATCACTTGTGAAATCTGCAATCAGGTACTGGTGAAACTGTTTCTTTCTCTCTCTCTCTCTCTCTCTCTCTCTCTCTCTCTCTTCGGTGAAGTTATATTGGCGGCACTGAATAGTTAAATATCTAACATCAGGTGGTAATTTGTACTGTTTATATTTCATCTTCCTGAATTTACCACCTAATGTTGAAAAATCATCAGACTGCTTAGGAGTTTTAGTTTATGTCCTTATATTAGCATTTAACACTCTTTGTTCTGATGATATCAAATGCTTATCCCTCTTCTTCTTGTTCTTCTTTATGAAACTTGATTGACCCCTTTTGTTCTCATTCATGGTAAATTAGCCATTTTTACAGTGTGAGTGGAGCACCTTCTTATGATGAATTAACTTTGCATTCCTCGAAAAGACCAGAACATAAACTCCTATATATTTTTTTTCTTCACAGTAAGTTTAATTTTGCATCTGATTGTGTCTCTGACTACTCGTAAGATATCCACAGTTCTTTATTTTTCAATTAAGTAATTGTTTTTTCTATGAACGAACATTGGGATATTTTGATTGTTTCGGGAGTTTTGAATCGCTGTAGTACTTTTTCTCAATATATAGGAATGTTGGATATTTCAGTAAATTTTCATTATTTTGTTTTTATTGCAACACATCCCCAAAACCTATTTTCTTGTCATGGAAGGTTTTAAGTCGTTATGCATTGGAGATTGATGGGTTTGACCTTATTACAGATTTATGCACCAAATTACTCTCGTCCACCAGCTAGACCAATCTCTGATGGAAGGATGATTGATATCAGGTAGTTCTTCTGCTTTATTACCCCTTAAATTGATTCATGTATATAGACTCTTTTATTGCTTATAATTGTTTAGAAGAACAGTAATGCTACACATTATGAGGTTTGACTTTATTAAGATATTTTAATTTATTATGCTTATATGGCTGCTTGCTTGCTTTTATTAAGAAGCTCTATTTCATTTTGCATTTGCTATTCTAATAGTAATGGTAAGAAGTTCACATTCTTGTAATTTTGGTATATTCAAATTGCAAACACAGAATTTGTGTCTGTGTGTTTATTACTTGGTATAAAGTAAAATTGTAATCATATAGTTTGTGTGCAGTAAAAGCTTTTGAGTTCTGATGGGATCTGTTATTGCACAAATTTTTGGTTTTCCAGAATATGCAAATCTCTCCATAACAAACGAATAGTTTGGACCAAAATCACAGACATAGAGGGAATTGTTTGCAGCATTTCTCTTGAATTCAGTCTTCTCAATTGCTTTACTGATTTTGTAAAATATTGTGTTGAGGTTCTCTTGAGATTACATGAGTATTTTTTCAGCTTGCAAGTTGCTGAATTTGAACTTACCACATTGGACTTTGTAAAGGAATTTGTCTTCTGTTGTGCTCACACATTGTAATCAGTTATTTATCAAGAAATAACTTATAATGCTCTGAACTTATCTTTAAATTAAGCATATCCCCGCACCCCCCCCCCCCCAAAACCAAAAAGAACACCCCCAAAAAAAAAATCCACCAAAAAAGAACAGAAAAAAAAGGTGTGTTGGGCGTATGTGAATGCTCAAACATACACGCATCTACAAATATACACATGTTAATACACTTTTATATTTACACTAGTATATGTGTATCTGAATATTTTATGCATGTAGTTGTATTTATATGTATTTAAAGATGTGAATGTGTACATTTTTATATATTTGCGTTTGTCCATGCATGTGTGTGTACATGCATTTATGTCCCCCAAGTAATCTTCTTCACTAATGATGCTCTGATTGATGTCTAGCAGTTACTTGTTGCCTCCTTGCTCTAGGTTCCATTACAAATCAGCTTTTAAGAATAAGAGAACTATCATCCTCGACATATGAGCTCATCAAATATCATGCCCCTAGCTTGATATTATGCTTTTCAAGGGTCTGGACTTTGGAGTTTCTTTTTTTATTTTTTTTCTGGCTTTTGCTCCTTAGGACATGGGATTCTCTCTCCAGCACATGTAGAGTTTCTCTCCAAAATGGATCATAACAGAGATCATGTGTATAGTCTTTTTTTAGTTCAATTTTTTCAGTTGATTCATGAAGACAGTGAAACCATGCACTTGAATTTTGTTTAGATTATATGGAGCCTTTCTAGTTGCAAGATTTAGAACTTGGATTTATGCCATTCTCCACAAGGACATGCAAGTTTGTAGAGATTGTTTTGGTCCTCTGATAATCCATTTATGCTTTTTGAGTTTTGAGAATACTTAAAGACAGAACTCTGCCTTTTTAACGGACTTGAAATTACTCTGACATAATAACATGGAATATTTTCCTCTTCCCTATTTTTTCTTATGAATCCATTCGAAACTAGCATGGCATTTATCTCGAGGAAGTGAGGTTAACCCACCCTAGGTTCCATTTTATTGTGTAAGGTGGAAATTGTCCTGTTAAGAGTGCTTTGTAATAGTGAAGCTACATCTAAAGTTTTATGCATTAGCATTTTCAAAAGTTTCCCTTTCGTTCCAAAGTGAGCTACTGACTTATCTTCTTTTTGTATCTGGCAAAATCTTATAACTCAGGTTGAGTTCCCATTGGTTTTCTTTAAAATTCTAAAACTTCAAATGGAAGAGTTTCACTTTCACCCAAATATGCAAGAATTTGCAATTACGATCCTTACAGACTTATCATTAAGGCGAAAACAACAATCACTGAAACCATTGGAACCCAGAATTTCAGAAATACTATGACTGTACTCTCTCATCCTTTCATTTCCATTAAACAACTATTTGAATTTCATCCTCTCCCAACTACTTTATCAGTTTATTATAATGAACTCATTGGGGTAGGGGGAAAGCAAGACCCGATGATCTTGATCTATCCTTTTATCGTATAGCATATCAGATCATTGCCGTAAGACATGGTGGCATCATCCCCACTCCAGAAAGCATAACAAGAATGCTGTGCTTTCTAGGACCTGGATCTATAACCACTTTTTATGGAAATCGGTGTAAAAAATATAGCAGCATGCATCACAATCACACATAGGCAGCCCCATAGAGGTGGGGCAGGTGACTAAGCGCCCCGCCTAGGCCAATGCGGCCCTTCTAGGCAGCCCGCCCCAAGGTGGGCGCCTAGGCGTATCAGGTGGTGCCTGGGAGAGCGCATCATGCCTCGGCCAATGTGGCCCTCTCCTAGGCAACCTGCTCCTAGGTGAGTGCATCGTGCCTCATCTGAGGTGCCCACCTTAATCATATATATATGCGTGTAGTGTTGGGGTGCCTCGAAACCGAGGAACCAGCATCATGCCGAGGCAGTGCCTCACGCTTTTCTCAACATTGATGGAAACTTGTTTTTTCTTTGAAATTAGTGCTAACAATGATAAGTTTACTCATTTTTTGCTGCTCATCACATAGTTTCTTTCTTCTCATTGTGTTAAGAAAGTTGGGTTTTACTTTTACTATCTTGAAGCATTAGAAGAGCTCTCTTTTTCTTTTCTTTTTTTAAATTACAGATGAAAAAGAAGGACCGGTATATAAAGTTGTTGGTTGAAATGATGTATTCTTTCTAGTAACGCTCGTAGGTATTTTTCCTAATTCTCTTGGATTTCTTCTTTGTCTACTAGACAAAGTTGGGGCGGACAGATTGACATGCATGATTCTCGACTTCTTGCTTTAGCAGCTGCTGAGCATCGGCTACTGCAGGCTGAATATGAAGAGTATGCTGCGGCCAATTCCAGTGGCATGGCATGCTGCCGCTCTGCTGCCCTCATTGTATGCCTAGACCCGGAACCCCAATGTGCTTTTTCTTGTTGCCCTTCACATGAGATGTATACTCATGAATTCTGGTCTATGGATCAAATATGCATGCATGCATTCATGAGTATCTTTATGTAGCTAATTATATATGCAGTATGCATGCAAGGGGGCAGTAATGTATGTATATATAAGTATGCACCCGTGTTCTTATTGTTCTCCCACTTCAATGTAGTTCTTTCCTTTTTTCTATTATTTGAAATCTAGGATTATCTGATGTATGGTATCTTTGGATTTGGAGTGGGAAATTATGCTACAATCTAGTGGACTATGGACAAATTATACTCTACCGGCTCATCAGGATCAGACGAAATGATAGACAGTAGTGTAAAATGGGGTCCACCAGAAAAATATCTGAATCCAATGATGAGTCCACTCTCTCTTCATAACTGTCCACCATTTCATTGGGATGGTGATGACCCAATGAATTGCTTTGTCCATAGTTTATTGGTATAGTTTTCTTATTTCCTTTAAAAATTGGACCTTGGATTTAATTGTTTCCTTATTAAAAATTGCTCGATAGTGTGATTGCTTGCCATTCTCATTCAGGGAAATTCCTTGGGGAGATAAATCCTTGACAAATGATTGAAACTCCCATTTTTCTTGGAGAATCAATGTCTGGAAAGTACATAAATATTTCCTTAAAGGGACATTGTTGGCGGACTAGAGACTTTGGATGATTGCTGTCAAACAATAAAACTAGAAGTTCACAATTTTGCAGAAATTTGATTGTTAGTGCAGTTTTATCTTTCTTGTGATAATTTATGGCTGCCGGTTATTTGTGCAGTTAATGTTACTTCTTCTTTTGCGCCATGCTCTCGCCGTCACAAGGGACTTTGGGCCTTTGCAGGACGGCTCAACTTTCTTCTTGGTATGTCACTTCACCAATTAACTTTATTTTGTTTAAATTCTAGTTGTTAATTCGTTTAGGTGTAAACCAAAATATTTGATAAAATTTTGATTATAAGTTAAATTTCTCTGAGCTGAGCCAGTTAACTACGGAAAATTTCAGGTTTCTATCTTCCAAATTGCAGGCTTCCTTTTGCCGTTCTATGTGATGGCACGAGCAATTTACATTTTACAGAACCGAAGGAGGCGGCAGGTAATTAATTGATCACTCTTTCCTTTTTGTTTTTTAAAGTTCTGATTGAAAGCTATGGAAGACCACCTGCATTTTCTTTGAAATTAAGTTGTTTAATATAGGGTTTCATATTGTCTTATACGGTGATTCGTATCTTTGATTTTTTTTTTGTCTTTTTGTTTTGTATGCAGCAACTTTGAGCATCCCATTGAAAGCCAATGTATAGAAGTTTGTTGCTGTCTTTTGTTTTTACCTTTTTGAGTTTTAACTTGAATTATGAAATGCGGATGCATACATGAAAATTCATGTATGTTTTGAAATTTGCTGTTGCTCGGGCAAAAGAATTATTGTCCGGTGATTTGATCTTCAAAGCTCCTTTGCAAGCAATGTATATATCCAAAATTGTTTCGTGTTGATGAATGAATTTAGTCCTTTATGTTCTCTGCCGAACTTCCATGTGCTCGATTCATCCGAGTTCGATATAGAGTGGCAGAGATTATGCCAATGGACAACTTCAGGAAGTAACACGCATTAAGGGGCCGTTTCAGTACCTAGAAATCCATTATGCCGAGATGAATTACAAGAAAATGCTCCATTTTCCGCGTTTGGGTGTACAGTGAGTAGGCGGAGAAAGAGACTACACCCCTGGGGAACTACAGGATTTAACGTGCATTACTCCCATGGGCAGCAACTGCTTAGGGGGGCTTGTTTGACCCCAAACTTTCTCAGCTCCTCTACCAATCTCAGCTATCGACTTTAAAATGGAAAGGAATTGAATAAGAGTCCTAAAATGCTCGAAATGAACTCTGCTCCAACAGTGTCCTAACGTGGTGTGACCCAACGTTTTAAAAAAAACCAAATCGCATGTCTGACTTGTGCCTGCTGGTTAATCTGGATTAGTGAATGAGTAGGGAATCGATAAATATAAAAATCAGTGGGAATTGGCTGATCCCTGTCTGTTGAAGAACTAGATCACCGACCATGATCACGGGTGGAACTTGGTGATCCCGGTTCGACCCTGTTCTTTTTAGAGAACTGGTTGGACCCAACTTTTGGGAACTCGGGATTGTTTGTGTGGTGGACTAAAGATCTTTCATGTGTTCCTAAGCATCAGGTAGTTTGCGGGTGGGAGTAAGTGAACAATTTGATCTAAGTTCCTCATTATTTATTTAAGTGAAATCAGGAGGTGATTAAGTGCACCCTTATTATTTACTTAAGCGAAACAAGGATGCCAAATAATTTAACAATTCAACCTCATTTTAGTCGAACTAATAAAGCCTGGCCCGCCTGGTTCAAGGCCACATGGTCACCATCAGGACCAGCCTAGGCCATGGATGAGCCTTTTGGGCCTAAACTTGGCTGAGACCAGCCCAAGCATAAGCCTTAACAACAATAATGAGGAAAACTTGTTTTTTTAAAGGGAAACTTGTTTTTCTTAAAGGACTGTATATAATGAGACCATTTACCTTTGATATAAAGTGGTCACAATTACTTACAGCCATTCAATGTGAAATTTTATAGCTTGGATGTTTCACAAAATTCCAAAAATTTCTTTTGGTTTGAACTTGATCAATGGAAGCCACCAAATTTCACATCCTACAATTAAGATTAATGTGACCACCATGTACCAAAGGTAAATAGTTGTTAAATAACTATGCTAAATAAAGTACAGATTAAAAGTGGCAATGGAAGCGGTGGCATCCACTTTTTAATGTTATTTAGGGAGTCAGCAAGTTACTATGGCTCCCAAAAAGTGCGTAGCACTCCCTGTTATCAAACATGGAAGTATTACAGTACTAGGAAGTCGTGGTTTCCAAAATCGCCACTTCAAAAACCAAATGGCAATTGGAGATATGGATTGGGAATTTTTTGGGTTTATCCAAAAAAAAGAAAAAGGAAAAAGATATGGGAATATTTTGGGTATCATGGTAATTATGGACAATTTTATAGATACTTTGGAGAGAAGGAGAAAGGAAGGGGGGATTATTTCCTCATTAACAAGAGACGCATAGGAGAGATGCATTTAGCTGCATTTTTTGACAAATAATACAAAAATGTATAAAAACTTGCGTTCTCAACCACATTTCAATATCGGAATTATAGAAATGGAGAGAGAGAGAGAGAAAAAATAAAATAAAAAGTCAGTCAGGCTTTGGGTCCCTACCCTTTGGTGAAAATGGAGTAAGAGATTTCATCATAGGGCTCGTTGGTACTACCGCCAAAGCCCTAACCCATTTCGGAGAGAGAGGGAATTGATATAGAGAGAATTAGAGAGATAAGTGACACAAGCAAGTTTGCCTTCACATAAAATGCCCATTCATGTCCGTATATCCCATCCAAAACATAGAAGAGAGAGAGATAGATTACAAGTCTTGAGATGCGTGGGGCTCAACCTTCTCCCGCAAAAACTGTTGAATGTGTTCACGCCTCCAATTGTCAATCCTACACAGTTGGATGAGCATTTTATAACAATATATAATAAATCAGTTTTTAAGACAATAAAATGATGATAAAACATTGCATCATGCACCAAATTCCACAATGTGAGAGATATTCTCATGTTAAACCATATCACAAACCATATCATGGCCATCTATATGCACAGGAAAAAGAAAAGGAAAGCTCTTGGCATGGCTCAACTTCTATCTCACTGCATACAAAATATACATGAAGAGAATTATTGTAAATGAACATATTCCACAACGGGACATTTATTTAGTAATGTATTTGGCGAGAGGGCCAACTCATGTGTCCACCTTGGTTTTTGAAAGATTAGGACTCGAGACACATCCAAATCATTGTAAGTTCATTTCTAACTCAGATCCATAAATTTGGAGCTTCGAAATTCTAGTAGATCTGTCGATGTTTGAAAAATTAGAATGAACATCCCCAACCCCCGACCCCGACACAAAAAAAAAAAGAAATACATAACACACCATTTTTAACGCTCAATATGATATCAGTGGGAAGCTTATGATATAGTACCTCTTTGTCCTAATTATGAACAACTTAACCAAGCACCTATAAGATGAGGTACCGTAGTTTATGTTATTTGTAGACGACATGGTTTTGATCGATGAGACCCGAAGAGGTGCTAACACCAAGTTAAAACTTTGGAGGGATGCTCTAGAATCTAAATGTTTTAAAATTAACTGGATTAAGCATATGGGGTTTTATAGCCCTACTAAGGGTATGGTTGGAAGTAGTAAGAACTGAATTAAAAGATATGGTTGGAAGTAGTAAGAAAAGATATGGGGTTTTATAGTCCTACTAAGGGTATGACCTATTGATAGAGTAGAATGACAGGAATTCGTATAGCCGACCCCAAATAGTTGAGAAAAAGCTCTAATGATGATGAATACTCATAATCTCAATGGTCTAGATTATGGTCTTGCAAAATCTTGGATCCCATAATCCATTTCCAAGATAGATTTTTAGCGGGTGGATTCACTGTAATAGGTATGTCCGCTGGATGCACCTTAATCCTACCCTTAATTTATTTTCTTCATGATTGCATGTTCAGCCATGAATGAGGAACAAGGGATACTTTCATGAACGAAAACAGACTGATTCTCTCTCTCTCTCTCTCTCTCTCTATATATATATATATATATATATAATTTCCCCAGACGAAGTCAACCTAGAAAACTAAAACCACTTTATTTGCTGGTGTTGCAAGGATTGATTCATCAAATTATGCAGATGTCAGATTCCCAGATTGCAAGAAAAACAAAATAGTGGTATAGTGAGTGCTAAAGAAATAGGGACTTTTAAGGATATTAGAGTTCTAGGGTGCTCAATATGGCTTTAGCCATGATAGTGACATTTTGAGTTAGGGAGGGATTTATTTGGGTATTCAAGTGTAGTTTTCAATTCTCAAGTTCAGGGGAGTCTTCATAGCCTGTGGGTTGAGCATTTGTTGTGTAACCCTCTACATTAAATCATAAAATCTTTTCTACAAACCAGGCACAGAAATATTTGCTACTACAAGTCAAGGAGCATTGCTATATCAACAGGATCTTATGGGGCTGATAGGAAAAGAAATAGGCAAGTAAAAGCAACTTACCAAAACAGATTCCATTATCAAGGTCCAATTTATCGTGATGCATGTGAGAAATGCTTATGCATATTAACTGACCTTATGGTTTCCTTGTGATTGCCAGCATCATCTAGCATGACAAGTTTTGGTGGTGACGCATAAGCATATTGAACTTTCAAAGAAGGGAATTTATCGGCCTCGTCCTCAATGAAAGCAAGAACTTCAGGATAAAATACAAGTTTCCTCATGCAAACTTCTAGGACAGCGCCGGAGTACGAAACCTGCACTCACATTAAGTGGGCATAATAATGCACTAACAGTAAGTACCTATGATATCCTGAAGGTCTGAAACACATAAAATACTTAGGCATGCATGCAAACAATAACAGAGTCTAGAGCTGCACTTTTAACAGGAGATTTTTTTTTTCAAAGTCAAAATTACATTTGCTTGGTTGGTGGGGCAAAGTTGTTAGATAATTATATCCAACTTGTTGAGTAAGGTCCAAGAATTCCATCAAAAAATTTCAATAAAAATAGCAACCTCAAAATTGTGCAGAAGCGTGATTTTCAAACTGATCGCGTTTTCTTTTCTCCCTCCAAATTCCCTGCCTCTCTGTGTGTGTGCGTGTGGAAAATGTCTAAGCATAATCCATTTCTTAAGTTAATCGACTATTATCTCCAATCTCTTAAAAACTCTCTCTCTCTCTCTCTCATCTTCAACTCTCTCCCTCTCTCATCTTTAAAAAAAAATTGATCTTCACTTCCCCTGTATTTCTCTCTCTGAAATATGTCTAAGCATAATCCATTTCTTAAGTTGATTGACTATGATCTCCCATCCCTTAAAATCTCTCTCTCTCAGATACACACGTCCTTAAACTCTCTCTCTCAGATACACACGTCCTTAAACTCTCTCTCTCTTAAAATTTCTCTCTCTCCCTCTCCTCAAAAGGATTTTGATTTTAGCGGAGGGTAACTTCCCTTACATTTGCCCTACAAAAATAAATAAACTCCCTCTAACTCAATCTCTCTCTATCTCCATGGAACATCTGCTCTCCCATCTTCTAAAATGTCTGTCTCTCTCTTAACCCTTCTCTATATTGAAAGGTCTTGTATTTATCCAACAATTAACTAACATTGAGTGGATGTGCTTGGAGGGGCATAAGCCACCAAATATACAGTGAGTTTGGGAAACACAACAGATTAGTACCAAGAACTGGTGAAAGGATCAGATTTTGGAAGGATGTATGCTACGGTGATGAAGCCTGGGTCTTTTTCCATATTGCATCCAATACATAAGCATTAGTCTAGGGGATGGTTGAAAACATAGCGGGGAAGATCATTTGGATGCCACTTTTTTGTTGAAACCTGACCAATTAGGGGTTGGGTGACCTATAAGTCTTGATGTCTACATTGAGACAATGTTTCCTTCCATTTCGAGGCAAACCAATCCAGTGTTCCAAATGTCTCTAAGCTTCCGCTGGTTGTGGCCCATTCCAGTACCAACAAATGTTATGGCCTTTAGTTTGCTGGTGGCCTTCAAGAAGCTACTCTGGATTGGTTACAATATGGGTATTCCAATACTTAATAGGTGTGTAATATGTCACGAAGCTAAAGAACATGAACACTTGTTTCTCCACTGCAGAATAACCACAACGATTGGATTTTGGATCTTGAAGCACTTCCTCTTCCAAAACATTGGGTTTAACCAAAAACAATAGATAGCATCATCCAGCAATGATTGTTAACCCCTTGCCCTTTCCAACAGCTGGAAAAATATTATGGTTTCTTTCAATCCTCAGACTGATCTGGTCCACTTGGTAAAAAAGAAGTAGAATAATCTTTCAGAGCAGTCTCTATAGTATGGCAGCCATTCAGGGTAGGGTCAAATCCCCTATCATCTCTTAGGCTTTATGTGCAAAAAAATTTCAAGGACTTTCACCAATGGATTTCATTGCACGGAGCATACCAGATCTTCATGTTGGGAAGCCCCATCCCTTGTGGTGATCAAATTGAATTTTGATGAAAGCTTGAAGGGCAACCCTGGCCCTGCTGTAGTTGAGGGTCCTTTTTTGGGGCCAATGAGATCAGGTTCTGCTGATCTGTTGGGTCTGATTGGGACCTGCAACTCCCCCGAAGCCGAGACCCAAGCCCTTCTAATTAGACTGCCAAAAATTGACAGCAGATAGGGGAACAATTTGGTTATTGAAAGATATTTATCAAACACAACACCCTGGCTTAAGAAAGTAACTGCAAAGCCATATAGACTCGACTATAAAACTGCAAACCCATGTAGGCTTGACCATGTGTCCAATCAAATAAATCACTTGTGCAAAACCATTTGTTACTTACAGACATACTAGGAAGGAAGCACTATATATCTTGTGCATAGAAATTTTGCATGTTTCTGAATCAAACAGTTAACATTTTTTTGAAAAATCAATGGCTGGGAACCAATATACTTCTTTTAATCCCAAGGGCTTGGGAAACCCGATTTGGTACTTCAAAGAATTTGGGGACTGCCACCTAAGTTTGTAAAAGATTACAAGCAATAAAGAAGTTATTTTTTCAAAAAACTTTTTCCCCTACATGAAAAAATTGGTAAACCCATACACCACAAGCATCATGGTTTGCATCCACAAACAAAATTTCTAGGTTGTTGCTCCATGCTAGCTCGTTGGTGAGATAATGTGGAGATTTCTTTGCCCTATATGGAGACATCACCTTCTACATTGGCTTCCCACATTTTTGGCAAAGGAAAACTTGTTTTGTAACAACTTCCTATGGAGTAATGGTTCTGATTATTATATGGACAATTTAGCAAACGAAAAACAAGCCCTGAAGATCTAGGTTCTACACCCTCAAGTGTTTTGACTTCCGAGAACTGGTTTGGAGAGTTCATTAATTCTCCCCAGGGCTCCTCTTACAATTCCATATCCCAGAACCACAAGAAGATTTCCAGAATGTGGGAATAGTCACAAAGTCCAGTTCTGATCAGTATGCGTAATGACTAATAGAGATCGTAATGACTAATAGAGGTGTATCTCATGATGGTGAGTACAATCTTGTCTCATGTAAGAGATTGATATTTTATGTGAGAGAGTCAAATTAGAGTGATATATCAATGTCAGAAAGTCAAATGACGAGGTGAGATAAGTGCGATAGAGGGATAGGATGCAACCTACTATGCTAGTGTCATCAACAAGTCATTCGACTATGGTCACATGTCTATTGCACAATTTTGTCTGTAGTAGTAACACAAAAGGACCCTAAAATATAGTTACCTGAATCGCCTATGAGGGTAGCGATTCTGTTTCGGAATCTCGATTCGACGTTTCTCCGGGCGAAAGTCAATTCTAAAAGAAAGGAATCACGTTTCCATTTTTTGCGGAATGCGATTCCACCTAGTTTAGGAATCTCGATTCCTGGATTGCAAGAATCAAGATTCCATATTGAGGACTTTATGATTCTTAAGCTACACAAGAATGCGATTCTGCTTGTGAGAAACGTTGATTCCAAATTTTTGGAATTGCGAATCCATATTGTTTGGAATCAAGTTTCTATATCGTAGACATCGTGATTCCTTGCTACAAAACAATGCGATTCTTGAACTAAATAATAGAAACACGTGTTCAACCAAATAATATAACATGAAAGTAATGTGAGAATAGGAACTTCAATTCTTGAACTAAATAATATAACATGAAAGTAATGCGAGAATAGGAACTTCAAATCTTCAACTAAATAATATAACATGAAAGTAATGTGAGAATAAGAACTTGAAGTGTTCAACTAAATACTATACAACATGAAAGTAATGTGAGCATAGGGAGAGCAGAAACCCTTCGATGTGTGCTCAATCATGAGTAAGCACGACATGTATGAGAGCGTTAGAAAATTTGAAGTTGTTGCACACGGCAATAAAATCAAAATTTAAAATATGGGTAATATGTTAAGTTTTTTATTTGCTTATTTACTAATTTCTATCCTTCATTCCATGTTACTTTTTAAGGACTCTTACCAAGAATAAATAATATTAAAAAATATGTTACTTCCAATTTAATAATGTTTGGTAAATGGTGTGGGTACTAAACTAGTAATCCAATAATGTTTAATATATGATCGGCGCAGTCATTTCTTCAAGTTGAATAAGAGGATAAAAATTCTTTTCTTTAAGTTGAATAAGAAAATAATAAAGATATGAGCGAAGTGCCCTGTGCGGTGCTTTAGGTTAAATTCATCATTAAATATCAGAGAAATTAACTACAAATTGAATAACTCAATTTTCAAAAGTCAAAAGACTCAAAACTACATTTAACAAAGAAGAATTACTATGTCATGTACTTATTTTATAATTCAAAGAAATGAGATAAAAGGAGTTTGCCCTTGTTCTCACTCCTTGTATGCCGTAGACTAGCTCCAGACCTTGTAGACATAATAAGGTTATCGGTAGACCGAGTCCATTGTATGGGATTGTCCACAAAGATATTATAAAGATTGACATTAGCACTTGGAGTCTTGGACAAAGTATATAAAACCAAAATTTGATCTTGTAGTAATGGGTAAATTTATATATTTTTTTGAATACTTCTCTCATATACTGGAGGGAATTGGTTTGCAATTCTAGTAAGGGGAGAATCTCGATTCCAATACGGGGAGAGTCACGATTCCGGAATGGTGAGAATGTTGATTCCAAATTGATGAGGATAACGATTCTAGAATTTTAGGAATCACAATTCTTTATTTTTAGGAATCACGATTCCATATTTTTAGGAATCACGATTCCAGCAACCACCGAAACAAGTGGGTTCATGCGTGATTCCATATAGGTATAAAACGTGATTCCAACATCAAAGGACATCGATTCTTGCAAATAGGAAACACGATTCCTAATTTTTTGAATCGCGATTCCAAAATAGTGAGAATCATTTTTCTCAAATCCGAATAGTACGGAGAACGATTCCTAAATTCCAAAACTTCTAATACACGCGATTCCGATTCTAGAAACGATTCTGAATTACGGATGTTTCCAACAACTATACCCTAAAACACCAGGAATAGCTCAACCAAAAGAATAGTTTCATCATATGAATAAGTACGAACATTACCTTTCCTAGATATCTCATGCAAATTTTCTTTTTTGTTAAATTTATTTTGCATAATTTTCTTAGATATGTTAGATTCTTTCCTTAATTTTCTCATGGAGTATTTCTAGATAGGCTCTCGCACTTAATATGATATTATGATCTATTCCTTTATCAGGAGTTAAGTTCCTTAAAGATATCATATTAAGTATGAGACCTATCTAGAAAAACTCCATGAGAAAATTAAGGAGAGAATCTAACATATATGAGAAAATTATGCATGATAAATTTAATAAAAAGAAAAATTATGCACGATATTTTTTGAAGTTGTTAACTGTTGCATTAGAAAAATTATGCATGATATTATGATCTATTCCTTTCTCAGGAGTTAAGTTCCCTAAAGATAAAGGGCAATGTTACATGGATTCTTCTGTTTGGGTGTTGTACCCTTGTCAGAGTTAGACACATGTTGACACACGTACTTATGCAGATTCTTTTGGATTCTTCTTGTTTATTAACCATTAATAACATCATTTTCGAGGCTTGATCTTATTTTTGTTTAAGTAGACACATGTGAACCTTTCAAAATGTCTATGAAACTCTCAAAATATCTATAGATTCAGACAATTAAGGTATAACTGATTATCTCTTGCTCCTCCTTATGAAATGGAATACTAATAAAACTATGAAATTTGGATGTCTTCATATTATAGCTGTGCTGCCAAATCCTCTTCTTCATGGCATGAGAATCTGATACCCTATACCTATGTCAAACACCGACACTTGTACCCGTTCCAAGCGACAAATCTAAAGGGTAAACATGAGGATTTGATATTTTATACCATGAGCATGGATAAAATAACTTTTTTTTTCAGATTTTTTGAGTAGTGGAACTGGTTTTATTTTATGCAGTCTTCCTGTAAGTGAAGATTTGTTGTCGGATTTCAATAGTTCTAGATCACTTTAACCAATTCAACACAAATGTGATTAGGATTAGGGCATTGGTAATGGAGAACATAACAATGCTTGCTAAGTTTCAGTAGCATTAATTTTTTTCTCCACTTATTTTATTTTGCATTGAAATTCGTTAGAAATTTACTATTGATCCCTTTCTCGAGGGGAGGGATTTTGTTCTTGGGTTTCAACGCTAGGGAATCGGCACTGGTTCCAAGTCCAGATAAAAGAGGGTTGTGTTAGGTAGGTAGCCAGCATAAAAATTTTGCTATATCTTTTCATGAATCCTGAACCTATCAGAATGGCAGAACATGATTCATATAGCCAACCCCAAATAGTTGGAGTAAGGCTCTGATGATGATTTTCCCAATAAATTACATCTCAAGTATTCCTTTGATGCAGCAAAATTGCATCTCAAGTATTGTGTGTGTGCTAACAAATAATTATTGTCATAATTCCATTCATTAATGTCATCTTGATTATGTTAATCAAGTTCGGACGTGACATGTACAAAACAGCCAAATGAAGAAGCCTATCAAACCTTGGTTCCCAAGTCTCCCGACGTATGTAGATTTTGGCAACCTATGAAATGAAAGATATTGGTTTATTTTAATGTGTTGCCTTAACATGATAATGTTTGATACTTTGTGGGTTGCCAATAGTTAGTGATAGTCGCTCATATCTCGCCATTGTTACAGTCCTTCTATCAGTAAATTTGGCAACTCTTCCTATTAAACAACCCTTTGAAATCATATACGTTTGTCTGCAATTTATTTATTAACAACGTGAGAAACTTCCATACCAACAAGGAGATTCTATGACCACTAGAGTGACGAAACTAGAAATAAATCAATTGCTTTTGTAAATTATGGTGGTTTAGATACGTATATAATATTTCCCTCACATAAAACTTGATCAGATCCTATACAAATTCATAATTATCAAATAGCGCAGATAGGGTTTCTTTTACTACAAAGAACTTAAAACAAGAAACACTCTGATGCTTGAGACCACAAGCACCCAATATGTCTTATTCCATATAATATGCAAGCATTACAACATGGATCATAAATATACACCCTAGAGATAATGTTAAGGCTGAAGTCAAATTCACCAAATACATTATTTCTTTTTAAATAAATTCACCAAATACATCATTATACCATGCTATTAGCATCATTTATCTAACACTTAGATTTAAGGCAACCGACCATACCTTACTCATGGAATCATCAGAGTCTTCTGTGCAGCATTTCTTACATTCCGACACCAAAGCTGCAACCACCAAAAGAGAATTAGAACCAAAATTAACACTAGTCCAACAAGTTTCTGAGTTAATATTAAGAATCACTATGAATGCAGGCAATAAGAAGAAAAGTTTTCTTAAAACGTAAAATGTCTCCAGATAGTTTACAAACCCGACACTTATAACCCAAGTCACCAGATCACTAAGTCAAGTCGCTTTATTTCATGGACACGGTTTCTATGAGTCCATGTAGAAATGAGTCACCTCTTAAAAATCTATTTTTGAGATGAATTTTTGGACTTAATTTTTAAGGACATGTAATCTTTAACATGGACATCATGAATATGAAAAAAAAAAAAAAAAATGAAAATTAGAAATTATAAATCTATTAAGAAAACATTTGGACCGTTAGTTTCAATTGTTTTTAGATGGACCACCTATTTGCATCCATCTTTAAGATGAATGCTTTATACCTCGAGGACTACAAATGTAGAAATGAGGTGCCCGCTGCATGAAACAATTATCCTTATGTCATTGATGAGTCAAATAGTTATCATGGAGGGAATGATTAGATAATTCTATGTACGCACATTCTATGTATACACACATTTAAAGTACAAGCAATATAGATGAGGCCCTAGGGCAATGCGACCGAGTTACTAAGGATGACAACTGAGTCTCAAATACTCAATTAATAATGTCAAAGATAAGTCAACCAAGTACAAGGCAAGCCCAAGGAGATCTAGGGTGAGCCATGGGTATAAAAATTCCTTTGCATGACTCAACTTGATATGTGCCAAATTGAATTGCCTAACGGGACCAAAACAAAGTGGAAAATAATGTAAAAGAGAAGATAAGTTAATAAAACTTCATATAGTCAAACTATATCAGCACATATCATTCCATAAAAACACCCTCATACGCATATAGGTGATTCATATATCAATTCAACATACCAAAAGACATAACTATATCTTCTCTCATAAAGGAATATACAACCATTATAAATGTGTGTGGAGGGAAGGGATCACAGTAAAATGCACATACGTTGCTCAATATTAATCTTTGCATCCAATAGGACAATGGTCATGGGCCATTCTCAGCAATTTGTGCAATAGACAATAGAGTCATTACAATCCAGGTGGAATACGAGCCCTGAATTCTTGTACAACATTTCCATGTCTTGCACAATAAGCAATCAAAATGACAGGGCGTGAGGTTTGTGAAGGGAAATGGTGATGGAAAAATTTATCAACAATCCGGAGTGTGGGATAGGAAGGGAATATTTTGAGGGTGGATTGGTCGACACATGACACTGCAAGGATAGTTTAAGACTAGTTATTGGAAACAACATATGAAGTCAACTTGGATAAACAAATAGAGTGATGAAACCCCTCAAGGCTCATGCTCCAAGAAACTAAGTGGAAACAGCATATGAAGTCAACCTGTGTGTAAGTTGGGGCGCTGCAAGTTAGGATGGAGAAAATCCTAAAGTCCTTGGCTTTTCACAGACCCATATGGTGGATTTGGAAAGAGTGGAACAAATTTGCATCACATAAGCAGCAAACAGTACATCATAAAAAGAAAAAAAAATGGATAAATAAACTAATTACATATAACATCCATGGGGCATGAGCAATTAGTAAATATCTGCGATCACTATGTGAATGCTTACTTATTGCTTATGAATGTTGATCTAACCATAATGTTAATATTTCAAGTTTCTATATATTGCATACCGTTTCAGTATTCATAATATATCGCAAGAACATATGAATGTTCAATCATCACACATAGCTTGATCAATTGAGTTCCATTTTTTCTTTGCTATCTCAGCTATTTTAATACCATCATCACTTATCAATGAAATTATGAAGGAAAAAAATCTATCATATCATTTAATATCTAATAACATATTTAATATATGTATGTCCACAATTCTCATAATCACTGATTTTCTATAAAATTCCTAATAATTTTGTAGTTTTCTTCGTTTCAATTCCTCCACCCTATTGTCTTCCTTCTCAGATCCTGCACATAGACAATCAAATCTTATAAAATTTATTGAGTCAAGGGGATTGGCAATAAAAGACATTTTGAGTTTCTTTCCGCTAATCATCAGTCATGAAATCCAGTTTTAAATGAGCTACCAAAATATCACAAGGAATATTGTATAAAATGTAATTAGTACAAAATAATATTTCAAGGAAAAATTTATATAAAGAAGCAACCTTATTTATAGAAGTAAGGTTGCATTAATCTACACTATCTATTATATTTGAACAATGCAGATTTGACAGTCTCAAAAAAGTGTGTCATATTCATACATATCTCATGATAAGTTCATACTTCATCGTTCGTATTAAGGTATTAATAACCTGAAGATCCCCACTAAAATGCACCATTATTTTCACTCTTATGATGTCAAATTTAAGATATAAAAATGAGGCCAATGTCCAGAGATAGGTAATTGCCTAATTGAAAAGGCTCGCAATAAGTATCCGAACAATGTACTCAACATTAGAAAGAAATAACAAGCTTATTCCTACTCAGATTTACACTGAGGAAAACACCAAAGTCAAACATAATAATCAGAAAAACATTTCCCACACCACTATAAAGAACCCCTATTTAGATTTCGAGAATATTCTAATAACCTTAAAAAGATCCAGAAACATGAATCCATTAGATTTATTGATATTACTCATAAAAACCTCAAAAAATAAGAAACTCTGTTCATAATTACAGGAACCCATCAACAGTTTCACCATTATTTTGCCGTGGGAAAAATGAGATTACTAAACAGAATAGAATGCAACAGAAAGGAAGAGAGAGAGAGAGAGAGAGAGAGAGAGAGAGACCTTCATCCTTGATATACTCTGCAAGAGTCTGGCAGTCTGAACAGAGGGCAAGGCCAGTGAAACCCAAATCTTCACATTGCTTTGAGCTCAATTCCTCACCAGAAATTACAGCAAAGAAGGCCAAAATATGCAGGAAAAACACCAACAAAGGCTTCGCCATTTTCTCTCTCTAGAATTTTGTTCGCTGAAATGAAAAAAATTCTCAAATATAGAACTACTTTTGAGGAGCAAGGAAGACTCTCCTACATGTACCCGCGGGAGCATGTATTTACTGGACTAGAGATACATTCACAGCTTGCCAGGATGATTGTTTGATTGATTATGGGGAAAATATGGGTTAAAGAAAAAAAGTTCATATAAGGGCGAGGTTCTAAACAATTAGGCGCACCTCAATAATTCACAGGAATAACTTGTTCCGATGCCCAAAAATTTTTGAATTTTTGGACATGAAAAAATTGGATTTTTTGGAAATAGTGTATCTTGTAATGCATTTTTGGACCGACAATTTTTTAGATTTTTAAGTGATCATAGATGTGTTCGACCTATGCTACTTTTGAAGCTTTAAATTTTATATTTAGAGATGAAAAAATATTTCGAGATAAAAACAAATTTTCAGGCGTCGCAAAGATTTTTAGTATTGAAAATTTGAAACAATATCTTTCGACCTTACTTTGATTGTTAACACGTATTAAGAAAGATTCAAAATCTTAGCCTTGAAAAGCTCTCATATCTAGCTCTAATTTTAATATTGTTATCACCGGCTATGCAGATGATTTAGTTATGCAACCATTAATTCTCTATTATTGTACCTCTTGAAATTGTACCTCTTGAAATTACTGGTAGTATTTATCTAAAATCTCCTCCTAAGATTATTATTTTTCCTTCAAGAAAATAATTATTCGATATTATATCTTACAATCATCGATTTAGAAATTTAAATACATATTTTGATATCATATGTGCTCCATCATGTATTAGTAAGGATGTTTATTTGACAAGTTTGGCTATATCATATTGTTTTACAATATTGCATACAAATTTATTTGTTGGATCTAATGGTATTTCAAATCTTAAATGTGTTGTTATTTTACCAGGAAAATTAGTGACAAATATAATTGATGAGGTTATAGCTAATGCAATTTTTTCACTTTTATAGACAATACGTAACTAGTGAATATACGTGTGCTGCATTTAATGGATCAATTTATGTGCATTCCCCCTTCTAATGTCCACCTTAAAGATGGATTTTGGATCCAAATTGTTAAACATCTTTGATCTAGCCCATGGTGATCTTCAATGTGAAGAATAAAATAAACTTTTTACATTCAAAAATATTTTTTTTATTTCTTTCACGTCTACTTTATGTTATACTTTTTATTTGAAGTTATCTATCATAGATTTATAGGAAAATCCCATAATTTTCTAGTATTTCTTGGCTCACAATGCATTAGTACAAGCAGAAGTAGCTGTAGTGAAGCAGGAGGTTTGTAATTCAAACATTCCTTAATACATTAAAAAACATCATTATTTTTTCAAGTAGTGGTCTTTTCGCAATACTTTCTTTAAAATTTCAACATTTTTAATTACCTAGTAATAGAAACATTGCTGTCAACTTCACTTCCCTTCGGCCGAAGAGGTTGAAGTTTCGGATTTTAGATCGAGACCGAAGTGAAGTGAAGCCTGATGCTGCCGCTTTGGTCAGATTCGGGCCACTTCAAGCTTCTTTGGTCAGATTGGGGTCTGCTTCGAGCCAATTTGGCCAAAGCTCTGAAGCAAAGAAATGTCTATATACAAGTTTCTTTTTTTTTAAAAAAAAATTTTTATTTTAATTTTTAATTTTTTATATATTATATCTAAATATTTATTTTATTTATATTAAATAAAAAATTCTTAAATCTTCCCCTGAATCGACCAAAATACCGAATTGCTTCATTTTTCTCACCAAACTGAAGAAGACTCCGAGTACAAACATTGGTTAGAAGATCTTTGTATGAGGTTGAACCTTTTATGTGTTTAATAATGATATTTTTCAGCGTCTGACGGATTTACCGTATGGATTCTTTCGATGCCTTTCTTTTGTTCTTTGTTTTACCAAACTTTATGTTTATCATTCCCAAGTGTGTGTTTGCTTGATATCTTAGCATGTTGTCCTCTCATTTGGTGGAATATTATCTGCAAAAACAAAATTGCAAATTAAAGTTGAAATGTATTACAATTAATATATCTTTAAACTATAGGTAATGTTTTTGAAGATACATTTTAGAAATGGGTGTGGTTTGTATAAGGGTGATGCTCTAAACAATCAAAGTAAGGTGCACCTTCAAATGGTATCGAAACATGTTGTTTATGTACAAGAAATCTTTGTGATGTCCTGAAAATTTATTTTCATCTCCAATTATAAAATTTAGTGATTAAAAATAAGTATAGATCTCTGAAAACTTGAAAATCTTAAAAATTGACAGTCTAGATAATACATTACATGACGCACCTTTTCCAAGACTTGAAATCTATTTTTTCTCATTTTCATATAGCTTGAGGTTGAGATGGTCGAATTGAAGGTTTTTCAACATCAAAACCTCATCTAGTGAATTTTCAAGGGGCGCTTCAATTGGATTGTCCAGGGCGTCCCCCTTATATATAAACTTTTTCCTTTAGAAATTGATTAGCTTTTTTCTGTGTGTATTTAGATATTTAAATGTGATGTTGATCTAGTAGGTGAGATGGAGACAATGGACAGAAGGTGCCATATGACTCTTGTTTACATGCAAAATTTGGAAAGAAAGTGACCTTCATGTGCCTTAACCTCATCTAAACCACATCGATCAGTGACGGAGAATAAGGGGTCTGTCAAATCATAGACCACAAAAAGTTGTTTGTTTTTTTGGCTCTCTTTAAGTGGTCCACCTTCAGAAAAATTTATTTCTGACATTTTATGTCTGAATGGAATCGTGGGAGTTATTCGCCTCCGAGAGCGAGTACCTTGGCCGAGGCGATCTTCAAAATGCATATATGTGTGTATGGATATCGACTATTTTGTTATATCTCAAAGCATTGCCCCAGGTAAAATAAATATCTCCATGAGTTGAGTTGTTCACATCAGGTTGTTAATTCCTTTCTGTTGATTGGTGCTGTTCCCTAGCAAAAAGAAGGAAAGTGGCAACACCACACCATACCTCAGCTCAGACATGAAGGAGAAAATTGAATGAAACATACCTTATGTTTCCAAAAATGAATGTCACATGATCCCCAATAAAAGGCATTATACATTCATCACTTAGAATCACTGTTCCATGGAGAGGGCCCAGTTTTATTGGGGCTATGGTTTTGTTATACTTGGTCATGCCATATCTCAAAACCCTAGGGGTGACTTGGGCTGCTAAATTTGGCATGAGGCCTGGTTCGGGCTTGAGATCTGGGCCTAATGTTAGTATGGGGCTTGTTTAGGTCCCCAGGAATCATGTCCTGGCTTCGACTTGCCATATGTTGTATTTTATTTTTATTTTTAAGAGTTCAGTAAATAAAAAAAATTGATCGGTCTGGCTCGACCCCATTAATAGGGCTAGGGCTGGGCCTTGGCAGGCCCTCTAGGATCCCAGCCTGGCTCAGGCTCGCCTTGGCCTAGCCCAAGGCCCAGCCTGTTGCCACCCGTATCCAGCTGCCAGAAATTTTTTGTGATGACATGCAAATCTATTTCAGCCATTAACCGTAACATTTGATACTCCCAAAACCATATAGATAAATATTTGTGAAAACAGTGTTAAAAGAGCTATTTGGAAGGATCTTGTCAATCTGAAGTTGTCAGATCCACTTTAGAATCAATGTACGAGTATTTAAAAGAAATAGATTTTGTGTTCCTCAATATTTAGATTTAATCGTCCAAAAATTAGAAAGTCCTTGTTCAATCTTAGGGAGTTATTCCTTCAGGCACATGAGTAGTGCATTTAAGGTTTTTTTTTTTTTTTTTTTTTGAGGTTTGTCAAGTTAAAGAGTTACATTACTGAAATATAAATTCTAAAAAATACTCCTAGACAGAGTTTCACCAGGGAGTGAATGGATCATATGCTCCAGCAGGAGCACATTAATCTTTTGGCCATGGCAATTGAACTCTTCTTCTTGTTCCTCCCATAGGAGTAAGCATGGGTCATTCTTTTCTTTTTCATCCTCTATATGAGACAATACTAATTGGACCATTCTAGAAGCCACTCATTTTTCTTATTCCTTCTTTAGGAGAAGCATGAAGAAAGTAATATCCATTTTAAAGAAGGCCAACCATCCTATATCTATCATTTTTTTTTTTGGGTAATTCAGTGGGGGAAGATATGCCCCTACCCATTTTTTCAAGTAAATTAGGAGTGAGCTTTTTTTTTTTTTAAAGGTGTTAATAGGGTGGTGTTAATGATGAAAATGAAAACCACAACGTAGTAACTATAGTGTGGAGTGCTACCACCACGGCTTGAACCCCTTTCTCAAAGTAACCATTCTCCCTTTCTCTCCCTCAAGGAACGGAGATGGAAACTAAATTCTTTTGTAGTAGTGGTTTAGGCCATAAGGCCTAGAACACTACATGTGTGTGTTTAATTTTTGGAAGATACAATTTTGAAAAACCTCGTCTTCCAGGGAAGTGGATACCCTAAGTACTATGGTCCCACATGGAACTAGTGGTATCTACTTTTTAGCTTTAAATATAAAGAAAGTGGATATGGAGGTATCGACTTTACTGTAAAATTTCCCCAATATCAAACATGAAAGCGGTATAGTACTGGAAGATGCAGTTTCCAAAACCAAGTATTCAATAAATCAAACATGCCCTACAAGTTTGGAATCAAGTTCAGGGGCTTTAAAAAAATGTAGTTCCACCTAGTGCTCAAAAATCAAGGACATGGAGAAATGTAGAATATTTTTTCCTTTACATATCTTGCTAGAATCCCTACTTCGACTCTAGACTCATTTGAGTCGGACTTTTGTTTTTCCCAGCGTCGGAATCTGGATGTCATTTAATACAATTGTGTTGTTAACACTTTTGATATTTTCCCCAAATTTGTCAAGATTCAAAACCATGATTAGGGTTTACAAATTTGCAACATCTAGTTTTGGAAGATATAAATAAGTAAAATACTTCTAAATCATATTTTGAGAAAAGAGACACAAAGTAATAGTGGATATTTATTGATGGGAGGCTTGCCTCCACAAAAATTCCACCATTCATTTCAAATGAATTAAATAGCTGGATTCAAATAATTGGAATAAAACTTGGATCATGCTGATTTTTATATAAATTAAATTTTGAACCAGCTAGGAGCAGAAATTTAAGTAAGGTGGCAAATAAACCTATGATAAAATCTCTATGATTAGCATTACAAGGAATACATATTGAAAGGAACATAAAAAAAAAATTACATGTTAAAAGAGGAAGGATCATCAAATTAAATGCGTGCTTTTATAATCACGCTTAACCGAACCCTAGTTACACTAAGTACAGATGAATTCTAGATCCAAAATTTTGCAGGTTTATCATCTAGACCGTCACAATTGTGAATCTAAAACAAAAAATGAATATTGAGGTTTACAAATAATTATTTTTGTATTTTAATTCTTCAAAAATCATTATGCTTTGTTCGAGCTCTAAATTCAAATTCAATGATCTCATGTGGAACGGATTCATAATGATAAATCCTTCAAAAACTAAGGTGGACGCATGAATCACAATCTCAACAAATCATTTTCTCACATATAATGTGGGGATTATATACTGTGATACCCTTTATCTTTTATACATGGAAGTCACAATTACTCGTGACCATTAAATATCAAAGTGGAAGACTTGGGGTTTGTCATTTAGGTTGAAATTTTTTTTTTTTTTAGAATTTTGAGTCTAGTCAGTAATATGCTTACAAGTACTTGATTTGAAATATGAAGAACAAAAGTGGTTGTGATCTCCTTGAGTTAGAAATAAATAGTCTATTTTTATATTTCTCCTATGATGTGTATGGTTTATTTGCAGAAGGGTTGACAATTTGCTATGCACAACCTATGCATACCAAATTGCGCGCACTCAGGAATTCAGGGCATTCACACTAAACAAAATTATGGGCAGCATTCGCCTGGCTACAACAAATCTCAAACATCAATCTTGAGAATGGATGGTGGATCCGCCAGCTGCACAGCATGCACCATACGAGGACTGTGTATAACAATCACACTTTCCGTATAGCATGTTTACTGCCCTTCTGGAATACGATGGGTCACTTGGGGATTTACAGGAATTAATTGTTGGCTTTTTTAATGAAATATTTTTCAAAAGGCCAAAAAAAAGAAAAAAAAAAAGAAAAAAAAAGCAAAAAACATCAGATATTGTGAACCACAAGTTGTATAAGAAGTCCAGGCCACATGCTCCATGCCCTCCAACGAACAATTGCACTGCAATAATTATCAGCAAAGAAGATTCTTACTTTCTCTCTCTAAACCCATTCCACACCCTACACAGTTTCTCTCTCTAGATCTCACCCCTTATCCCACTTCCACCTCATTCACATCCTCGAGGGTCTAAACCATGTGTACCTCTTGCAAGCACATATTTTTTCTCTCTCTCTAAAACCAGTCTTTTAGAGGTACCTTCACTCTCTCACTAGAATGGGAAAGTACTGATAATTCTAGAGAGAGAGAGAGGATGAAGATCCAGTGTGATGTGTGTGAGAAGGCTTGTGCTTCAGTGATATGTTGTGCAGATGAGGCTGCACTGTGCACAGAGTGTGACATTGAAGTACATGAAGCCAACAAGCTTGCAAGCAAACACCAGAGACTCCATCTCCACTTCATCTCCAACCAGCTACCACGCTGTGATATTTGCCAGGTAAAATGATCCAACACCAACCTTTTTTTTTTTTTGTTATTTATCTTTATAGGTTTTGTGATAATGTTAGATTGAAATCATGCTGTTACTAGGATCATAGCAATGTTTTAAAAATCGGCTCGAGCCTTGAACTCGGCCCTGGGTCGAGCCTAAGTAACGTGCGTTAGTCTGGTCGACTCGGCCAAGCAACGTGCAAGGCAGAAAAAGCCCTAAAAAAATTTAAAAACTTAATATATATATATATATATATTTTAAATTTGCTAAAAAATAAACTGGCCAAAAAACATAAAAAGTCTAAATAAGCTTAAAAATATAGATTTAGAAACAATTGATTTATAGTTGGAGACATTTTGTGAAAATCTTAAAAACAAAGAAAAATATAAAAATAATGTATATGGCAAGAAAAAATAACAAATCGTTTTGTGTCGTTTTTATGAAGCGAAAAGTTTATATAGAGCCGAGGCTCTATACCATCAAATTAGAACCAGCCTAAAAAATTTCATTAGAAGATGTTGGTTTGATGCCCAAATGTCCTCAAATTGATCATCTCAACATCAAGATAGATAGACATGAGAAAAAAATGGATTTGAAGTTGTGAAAATAGTGTATTTTGTAATGCATATTTGGACCGTCAATTTTCAAGATTTTCAAGTTTTCATAGAGCTATTAATCTACACTATTTTTCAAGCTTTAAACTTTATAAACAAAGCTGAAAATATATTTTAAGGCTATCACAAAAATTTTCAGTATTGAAACCATATTTCTCAAAACTATTTGAAAGTAGGCTCTAATTTGATTGTTCAAGCCTAGGCTCTATACAAACCGCACCCTTTATAAATTGATCAGGGAAAAGTTTATATAGAGCAGAGGCTCTAAACAATTAAATTTGAGCCTACTTAAAAAATTTCATTAGAAGATGTAGTTTTGATGCTTAAATATCTTCAAATTGATCATCTTGACATCAAGATGCATGGACCGGAGAAAAAATTGGATTTCGGGTTTTGGAAATAGTATATTTTGTAACGCTTTTTTTTACCGTCAATTTTCAAGATTTTCAAGTTTTCATAAATATGTCGATCAACACTATTTTTGAAGCTTTAAACTTTATGAATAAATATAAAAATATATTTTAAGGCTATTACAAAGATTTTCAGTAGTGAAACCACATTTCTCGACATTATTTGAAGGTAGGCTCTAATTTGATTGTTTAGAGCCTAGGCTCTATATAAACCACACCCTTTATATAATTTTTATTTATTTTTATTTTTTTGATGTATCGAAGTTGTACGAGCCGACCTTTAAATAGGGTTGAGAAATGTGGTTTTAATACTGAAAATCTCCCTTATAGCCTCAAAATGTATTTTCATCTCTAATTATAAAATTTAAAGCTTAAAGAATAGTGTAGATCGAGAATATCTATAAAAAGCCGAGCTATAAAAACTTGAAAATTGACGGTCCAAAAATGCATTACAAGATGCATTATTTTTTGAAATTAGAGATTTATTTATTTATCATATCCATGCGTCTTGATATCGAGATGATCGATTTAAAGATATTTGAGCATCAAAGCGATCTCTTCTAGTGAAATTTTTGAGGTGTATTCTAATTTGATTGTTTAGAACTTCTGCTTTATATTACTATATTAAATGTTGTTTAAAAACTCTGAAAGGTGGGTCAAATGGATAAAAGAAATAAAAAATATAAAAATTAGTTATTATCATCGTCAAAGTCTTTTGCTTGGAGTTGCCACAC